TTTTTTTTTTTTTTTTTTTTTTTTTTTTTTTAAAAAGCCCCCCCCCCCCCCCCCATCCTAACCCAAATCTTAACAACTGTTCCTTTTATTTTGTAGGATGCTAACACCATAAAGAAAGTCTTCATCCAGCGGAAGACTGAACTTGAACATGGTGAACCCACTAAATCTAGTCTTCGTATCAGGTATTAAATGACATATGTTTCGTATTAGTGTATTATCTTTTGTCTTAAATACAGTAAATTATTTCATAATAGAAAACAGATTATTTTGAGGTCTACAATGGTGTATGTCTTTTGCCATTACTGTTCAACAGGAATCGCAGGTCAGGCCAGGGGGATCGACTCTCTGGTGTCAGCGTCGCTCTCCACTATGGCTCAGAGAGTGAGGACGACCCCGTGCTCTCTGGTCAGTATCGGCGCTTTAGGCAGCAGAGAAATGTGCCGTGTGTTTTTGTTGGAAAAAAAACAAACAAACAGTTTACCATGTAAATGTTGCAGGCTCTGTGTGCTATGACGAGGGGGAGTCAGAGGCTGAGAGTCAGAGTTCTAGTATGGACATGAGCAACCCGATCTTCCAGCTGTATGAAGCTGTGAGGGGTGCCAGGAACAACCAGGGCCAGGTCTTCTCAGAACCTTTTCAGCACCTGCCCTCTCGCAGGGAATATCCAGACTATTATCAGCAGATCAAACAGCCCATCGCTCTGCAGCAGATCAGGTAAGGAATGATCATTCAGTAGATTCAGGTATCATGTCAAGAGACAGATTGTTATTCTTACCGGTGCAACAGATTCACCTTTTTACCAGCAAATAACAGTTTCAAATGGAAGTTCAAGTTCTTGTTTATTTTTAAGGGCAAAGATGAAGAATGGCGAGTATGAAAGTGTGGAACAGATGGAGGCCGATCTTACTCTGATGTTTGAGAATGCAAAGCGCTACAACATGCCTATGTCAAGCATTTACAAACGGGCCTTTAGGCTTCAGCAGATCATGCAGGTAAGGACATCTGTGCTGTTTTTTAATGTCAGCTTATGCTGGAGGATGTTTTCACTCTAGTTAAGCCAAGAATTAAATAAATT